TCGTCAAACCAAAGGGGAAAGAGTGATTTCTTGGTTTCCTAAAAAAGGGGATTAAGGGGCTGCGAGTAAGCATCTCGATTAAAAAAAGCTCCGCTCTGTATTTAGATTAAGGCATCCCCTATCACCTCAAGATCCTTCTCTTCTTTTCCTTTCTGTTTACATTGTGGAGATTCGACAAATTTTGGTCCTTTGAGAATGCCATTGCATTTACTTTTCGCTACCAGAGCTGTTGTACACTTTCTAATGTAAGAAGGCGATTATGCAATGAAAAATACGCATTCATGTTTAATAGCACCAGAGCCATTGTTTATAACTGTTTTCAAACACAGTAATTCACCAGAAATTATTATTATTATTGTTATTTAAGTGTTCAAATTGCAGACCTTGTTAGGCCAAAATTAGTAAATGACTTAGATTAATTCTGGTAGTATCAACGTGACCTGAGAGAGGCTTCGTGTTAGCCTCAAGGTCATAGCACAATCCGTTAGGGGCAGGTGGACTGGGCTGTCGAGACTAAATAACAAAAATATTGTCTAGTCAGGAATGAATCAGTAGCATATTATCGAGCTTTACTTACAACAATCACCGACCTCGGAGGCCACATGAAATGTACCAGTAGGTAAATTACGGTTAAAATTACGCTGTTTTGGGCAGTTTGCTGATGACTGCTTTATGCAATAAAAGTAGCTACAATATAAAAAGTGGGTGAGGGTAAAGTAAAATGGGAAGTAAGAATGCTGAATTAAATTGTGATAGGAAAAGAACAATAACATTGACAAAAATGGGTACAATCTTCACAGAATTAATTCATCCACTTTCATGGCTAGCCAGTTTTGATAAACTCTTATGGCACACTAGTGGCACCGGCAAGACATGCTTTTAAAGCACCTTGAGGAATTGTCGGCCTGGATATGAGTCATGTAATGTTTTTAAAAACCATATGGAGAAATAGGGAATCTTGTTTGAAAGTATTTTAAGGCGACCCATCCACCATGTTATAGCCCTATCTGTTTGAAATTTGATAACCAGGATCAGAGGTATCTAATACCAATTTTATGAAACTCATTAGTTTGCAATATCCAGAACCAAGTTGAACACGGACTTTGGTGACGACTATTGTTGCCCTAAGGGATACATGGGTTTTACATGGTGACTTCAACGTCCCTTTAATCAGCAAACTGATTGAATAATTTACCTATTTTTTTAGTTTGGGGACCGTGTAGGAGGCATGCTGGCTCGACATACCATATTTGTCACTGGGCCGTTTTTGTATTTTACTTCGCGCGCTTACCCTCCTTTCTCCCGGCACTTTCAATCCACGACAAATGCACTTTAAAGCTGGCATGCAGTGCAACGAATTTTCAATTTACCATAGTGGAGAGCAAGATGCACTTGTATTAAGAATAGAGTGCAATTACGGGCTTTAATGGGATCACAAAGTGGATGATACTATGTTCCAAACTGAAGCGAGCTAATACTGGTTAAACATAAGCTTTTCTCACCACCCTACAACAAGCCTGCTTTGGGAGCTTCCTTCTTCTTATAGATTGGAATCGCTCTATTTTACAGCCGTATTTCTTCAAAAAAGTGATAGCGACATAGTTATCCTCTAATCTACCAATACAAAGTCGTATAGATTGGTAAGGTTGAAGACCAATCATTCTCAATGGACCATGAAATCTCTCTTAGCAAGGCCGATATTGCAGTAACTACAACGTCTAAAACGGATAATTACATCAAACGCCCTTTAACGTATTTAATTACCTATCCTTTTAATTTAATTATGTGTAATTGAGCTTTACTTAATGATTCCTGACTCTAGCTTGGTTGTTTTATAAGGATCCCTTGTCATCAGTGAAGCATTTCTCAAATATATCCCTGGCTTATAAATACTTGGAGGAAAGGTTGGTGAAGGGAGGGACATGTTCGGGCACCCTTTGACCAGTTTATTTATTCGCGGATAAATTGTTCTCAGAGAGCCTAGAGGCAACCCAATTATGAGGTAGTGTTGACGTGGGGGCTTAAGTGCTGGTGTTGGCCGCGGTTGCTTACCCCCTACCTCGCGAGAGAAACTCGCAGCCCTTCGATCATCGATAAATCGATCCTCACCAGATAGTAAGTGCAATGGAGTCCTGCTTTTTGGACCTTCATTACTTTTTGACTGAGGGCTAAGCAGACAGGGTGTTGAGATCAAGAACTTCGTCTCGACTTTCAACTACCAGCTATTTTGAACAATTTTGGAGGGCTTATTTAAGTTTAATTATAAAAGATGATACGGCGATCACCAGTCCTAGGCAGATCTCTGACAACGACGAAATGTAATAACAGTGTCTACATGCAAAACATCCAGCATTTAAAGAATACTAGAGAAGCAATTCTGGTGCGTGACTGATTGGTGGCTGCCAAATCGAGATAGGTTTTACTTTCTACCCTCCTTTCTCATTTATTTTCTGCCAATAAGCTTATTAAAGTCATAAATTCACACATCACATAGGTAATTACCTCACCATACTACACAAATCAATGCGATCTTATTAGTTCCACATCGTTGTGGTGAATTTATGCCTGTGTAGGTGAAGCAGACACTTTATGTAAACAAGTACACCAGAAGCAGAATCCTCTTGGCATACCCTGATCGCATGAATATGTAATACTCTGTTATTTGATTGGTTCTTGTATGACGCCGTTTTATTGTTCACTACGATGGGTCTTGCAACAACTGTATTGCCTTGAGCGCAGGGTATTCCACCTCTGGCAGACATATTTCCAGTATGTGCCTCGGACTTGACTTAGTGGATTCATTTGTCCTATGCAACCACTCGGCCTACCTTCCGAGCATAAGACGATTTGACAGCGAGCAAACTTTGCCAGGAGGATTAACCGCGCTTGGTAACCCCAGAAACGGCAAACCCAATGCGATTGTGGTGGTAGCACTTAGAACAAGATATGGTATTGGCAGAATTACTGTAAACTACACATCAAATCTGATGATAACGCAAGCAGCGAAAATCGTCATATTGTTTTCCAAATACCACACCTATTCAGTTCATTACGTCGTCACGACCTAAACAAACTGTGAACATACTTGAGGCAAAAAAATGAGGAACCAAACTGCCGGCATTGACTGAAATAAATTTGGGTTCCAGATACGTCTTAAAACTTATTTTTAATTGCAGTCTTATAGTGGAACTATGTATTTAATCGTGAGAGTTTTAATAAGTTCAACATGAGCTATTGCGTTCCGCACAAAATTATTAATGGAGCCCATCCTCGCTACCTTGGCTTGAATTCGCGCCAACGCCAACTCACCTGTGTCTAGTCGACCTGTGTTGACGTTTTAGTTACCAACGCGCTAGCAAAGGCGTATCTGGACGCGAGAAGGCAATAAAAGCATGCATTTTTAATACCGCCTCACGCAAATTTACAGAACGCAAGGCAGGCTAGCACCAAAAACATCCAATTACACATGAGGAACTTCTCAATCGGCTAACGAACCCGTAAAAGCCAAGGCTTAAAGTAAAATAAAATGTTGCAAAGGTCAACACTACGTGTTGGGCCGAAGGTCGTACAAACTAACGGGCTACATCACCAAACTTAGCACTGGACTGAGGGACAAGAACCAAATCTCTCATCTCTAAACTGGGCCTGCCTGTGTCCAGTGCATTTGGTCCGATTTTCAAAATTGCAAGCACATGCAGTCCGGCAGTCTCGGTAGTGGGGACCTAAGGTCTCAAAACCGCCATCAGAGACACAGCAAACACCTCTACCGCTACTAGCGATGATTGAGCCATCGTAGTGGCTGGCTATCAGTAGTTCAGATGGTTGAACTCTACCATAAATATAAGGCGTTGTTGTTACGGTAAGGTGAAGTGCAAAACCCTTACCGTAGGCGGCATGGTGAGCTGAGGCGTAGGATCGACAGTCAGGTTGCGCGACACCAAAATAAATCACCATGATTTTGATAGATAGGTATTGGAGTGTACTAGGTTGAGTGCTTAAAGCTTCGACGTTCTTGTGCGTCACAGTGATGAGGGATATTTATCGCCTACAGGTTAACGACTCCTTACTTGAAATAATTTACTTAAAGTGTTAAATGGTTTAAAGGTTTCATACCACCTCCAGTGGAGAGAATGTGTCCTTGGGAAAGCGAATGTGGTTAACTCTTAAACACTGCGACTCTAGTTTAAATAAAAATTGCAAATTTTAGCAAGGACGCACAATACAACCCACTTCGTTTGGTTTGGGCCTACAGCAAAAAAAGGATGAGTGGAAAATGAAGTAGCAAAGATTGATGGAAGTTTACGGTCCACGAACAGAAGCGAGTGCCTTGATGAAAAAGCCGCAGCGTCCACGATGAACTGCTGCAAAAGTGCAAAGCTAAATCACCAAGGCGCACCAATCACCAACGTGCTCGGTGCGTTCACGTGCGTGCATAAGCGCGTCTGTCTGTGGTGACCTAAACTATTCAGGACAATCGATGGCTTTTCTGGCTTTTCGATTGGTTAGAATGTGTACATGGTTGCCCGGATGGTGTGCGCATAAGCCTGCGTAGAAGGTCACCAGACGGACACACTAAGTCTGTTAAATCCTACGTCTGCTGCGCGTACATGCGTGCCTGCATCTCTTTCGTGTCTGCTTCTGCTACTATTTGACCAACGGCAGTCTAGCCTTCATTTGAAACTTTTGCACATACATTGGTGGAGGCGCGAGCATACCCACGCACTCACGCTCACGCACACGTACGCATGCACAACACGCAAGCCACACGCGGGTTGTGCGCACACACGCTTTTTGTGAAGGGTGATATCTGCACGCGCAGCGCGCCATTCCGGTCTAATACAATTATAGTTGCATTTTGCCGTGCCAACCTGCTGAGATTCTCTGTTTGACCCCCAAACGAACTCACACACACTTCTCTGGAGCATTTTGTTCGCCTACCTTCTTGACAAATCTCCCATGTATATAAACAAGCCGCCTCTGAGATTTTACCAGACTTTGCAATGACACAGGCAGCTTCATTTTCGGACAAAACTAATCCAATGAATGCTCTTGCACCTCGTAACCTCCGCCGACAGATCGATGGGGTAACTAACGGGGCTGCCCTCCCTAATCCACTCACAGCTGTTAGTTTTCTCCCTGATTCTGTAAGACTTCCTGCGGAAATTGAAGCCTCCTATCTCAACCTTCTTGCTATGAACTCCCACATTCTCTCACCTTTTGCGAGACAAATTCTGCTAGGCAATCGAAATCTCCCAACTCTGAATCCTAAAAGACCTATAGTTCCATCTCTACCACCTCAAACAATCACAAACTTTTCCAGTCAATCGTCTAGCTCTGCGATCCCTTCTACTTCGATCTCCTCCTCCTCCTCCTCCTCCTCCTCCTCATTCTCTCTACCAAGAGTTCATGAAATTGAGGAGACGGGTGAACTGGTCTACAGTATCGTTGAAGGGGAAAAAGTGATGGGCTTCAACGTCTGGGGTGAAGTTCGCCTCTGTTTGCCGCATTTGCTGAGGTTTGTTCTCAATGATGTGGATATCGACGAGATCGGGCAAGCCATTTCAAAACTCCGCATTGCCTGCACTAAGTGCTCCTCTCGCCAACTGGCAATGCTACATGGATGCAATGCTCTGCCAGGTGAGGTTACTTCATGTGGCCTGATTCGAAAGAGCGATGCTGAACGAATGTTAAAGTTTCTGCGATCGTCGCGTCGAAGACCCACTTTAGCTGATGCCTGCACGGATGTCAATGTAACTGATGGAAAGGTCTTCTTTTCCAAACAGACGGAGAATATAAAATTTGCAGAGGTGAGAGATGCAACCCTTGGAAATTTCATTGACGTGCGGCACGATTGTTTTGGGATGCAGAGAGGTCGAGTTTATCCCCATCTCTACAACTCTGTCTCGTCGCCGTGCATAGTCTGTCGAACATGCAACAAGCTCTTCTCACCGCAGGATTTCGTTGGTCATACTCATTCTGTCAACGAGTCAGATGGCTGTTGCCACTGGGGCTTCGATTCCACAAATTGGAGGTCATACCTTCAACTCGATATCGACTCTACCGGTCGGCAGAAGAAGGTCAAACGCGAGGGTAGCGACTCTGGAGAGGAGGAAAACTCGGATGTCCGCACCTACCGTGCTCTTAGGGATTTTAAGGTCAAGTTTCTTAAGGTATGTCAATGCTTAATCGTGATCTTGATAGTTCAGTGTAGTTTTGGATTACTTGTGTTTTCATCCCTTTTCCTGTCGGTTACTCATATGTCCATGAATGTAAATGCGATCGAAAGCTTGGGTAAAACCTGTGTTTGACCCATATCCTGATGGGTGATTAATTCTTTCTGGCAGTTGGGCTGCCATAGCATTCGATTGATGTGTTGGCCTGCTGTAGGAGTGGAGATGACCGGGTTTGTAGACGCGTTTCTTACTCACCCCAGTAGGTGGGAGGTAGGTTGAATGGTTGTTTTGCATCCTGCTGAATTAGCCATCCACGTCACGCACTCTGGAGAGCGAAGTTTAACAAGGTGTGGCGTCCCCGTCTTGGTCACAACGCTGAAAAGATACAATCAAATACCATTCTACTACCTCGTCACTTTGTGCTACTTTAGCCTCTGCATTTACCAAACGAAATCACAAAGATTGTACTCGGATCGGAGGGGCATATGGTTGATGTTAAAAATCAGCAACTACTTCAACCTTCAAATGAGACTCAGCCTCTTGACTGCTCCACAAACAAACCTCCAAGCACAGCGCCTTCCTCCATCGTTCTTGACGTTCTTCGACCTGCTTCGGAGGATCAGCAACAGGCTCCAGACGACCCCCGGCTGGAAGTCCACCTGCGTCCTAATCTCAAAATCCGTCGACTTTGGGCTCCCCATCAGGGTTGTCTGCGCATTCCCAATCCCCCAAAACTCATATCTGATTGGTTCGTAGACTCGATGTCTTGATTTGTAGTTGTTACTTGACATGAAAGATCGGTTGTTTATTTTCAAAATGTAGTCCTCGAGGTCCAAAGCCTCGAAATTTGTCCTCCGGCCCACCGGTCCTCCTAGATCCCAGTTGCATAGTAACCAAAGATTCCGCTCAACTCTACGGCCGTGATTTCATTCCTAACGTCTGTTTGAAACCTGTGACCACCGCGGTATCGACAGGACCGGGTGGACAGTCACAGCTGCACCTCTCAAGGAGCCTTCCCAGCGTTCCTTCAAATGAGGATATAGTCGCCTCAGCAGCAGAGAAACGGCTCTCTGAAGCAGACCTCTTTCCCGATCCAAAGGTCTCAGGCGGTCATCGTAGTAGACCAGTCCTTCGCGGCTCGGGGATTCCACCTTCGACGGATTTCAGCCTCTTCCAGCACTCCAACCAGGGCCTTAATTCCATTGATAGCTCACCCGCAAGAGCGCGGCACTCCAGCTCTGTGCATGATGCTGCAGTACTAGCCTTCTCTAATCCTCTCGATTTGCATAAGCGATGTGCCACGGAAGAGGTATTTCGATGTCCCTCAGTCGACTCTGTGCCTGCTCCGTCTTTCCGAAGGCAACTGAGTCGAACTACATCCGATCCGGCCATCAACATCTCCGCCGTTCGATCGGGTGCGAAGCGAGGGCGCGCTGGTTCATGGCTGTTAACACCCACCTCCCCCAGCATTTCTCTCTCGAGAAGGAAGCGTCTGCTGGAGACCTCGGGGTCGAGTAGAGAGGACCAAGTTTACGCATTCAGTAAGTCAGTCTTGTGTGTGTGTTTCTGTGTGCATTTGTGCCTTTACAGGCCTTAATTTTTTATAACGCTTGCCAAACCTATTGCTGATCATTTTGGTCCATCGCTTTTTCCTTTTTTTTATTTCCGATTGTGTGCAGATGTGCGCGTGTGTGCGATTGTGTGCACGAACCAGTGTATTTGCGTTTCTTAGTCTGTGGCAAAGTCAGAAAAGCTTGCACTTCGTTAATCGGCGAAGAGGCTTGGGTGTTTTGCCCTTTGTGTGCTCAAGAATAGTTAGTACCTTAGCTTGTACTACCCAATCATCTACATACTCGGTATTTTGACCAGTGATGAGGTATTTAAATTCACCAGGAGGTCTTCAAACGGTCATGCTAGGACATCGAAACTTTGGGCCTTTGTGTTGTCTGAGTGTTTTTGCTAACACTGCAGTTTTAAGGCGTTCTCATGCGTCTGGAAAGCATACCGATTCTCAAACTTTAGTAGCTGGATCGTGTCGATTTTGCAGGTTTTGGAATTCATTCCACTTCTAGTAGGCACGCAGGGGAAAATAATCTTTTGGGTCTTGAAAGCTTGGGTGTTGACATGGATAGGGGAATCATGGGCTGTTTTCTTTTATTTGCTTCTGGTCCATGTGATTAATGTTTTATTTACTCAATGCTCGAAGATACATTCAAAAATTTCTGGGCTGTTGTGAGCCCTCGCGATAATCGGGACGAAGTTCTCGTGACAGATCTGTTATTTCTCTTGTCTTCGCTACCTTTTGAAGGGTCTTGCTTATTGACGCTAGCCAGAGCTAATCAACTTCCAAAGAATGGACTTTTAAACAATAATTGACGTTCCTTTGCTCATTGTAAATTATTGTCGTACTTGAGACAAAGCAAGGGTGGGTCCTAGCAGCAAGCCAGACGCGGATTCCATGTGTAGGTACGTGTTTCATGCAGCTACATAATCAACCACGCGTTAGACTCAAGTTCGCATAAAAACGCACTCATGGGACCAGTCACGTGCTACTTAAGTCTGTCCAAAGACAGGGGGAGACTTCCCTCTCCTCAGAATTTGCTTGAGCACAACATTCTTTCGGACTGGAAAGGATGAAACAAAGCTGATTATTTATTATCTAAGAAGACGTGCTCATCTCTACCACTGTCGTTAAGAATGTAGCTAAGCTTAGAGTATCCTACCTTCGCAGAATTAACTGTATTCTCATGGCAAGGACACGTTTTGCTTGGGATCATTGTGGTCTTCACCTTTCTATCAATTAACGGCGAGCTTGTTAAAGGACCCGGAGCAGCTGCGCTGTTGCTGCCATCGCTACTTGTCGATGAGATTTCCCATCACATCTACCGAGAAAGAGCTCACTCTACTAGTCTGGCGGTTCTCCATTTCCAGTAAGGGACAGATGAATCTGGGAATTTTCGAGTGGCAAGTGTGTATGACATGTATGCGTTTTCTGTGTTTGGTTGCTGTAAAATCGCGTCAGCATGAACTAATCAAATTTAGGTATGCACACGCACAAAGAATGATGCAAGGGCTAATAGGTATTGTTTCCTACTTTCAGGATCGGTTGAAAACAGACGCTTAACCACCTCAGAGGAGTCCTCTCTCCATCAACTGCAGAATCAGTCCCAGAACTGGTTTTCAGCGGACTCAGTGTTGAGTCAAACCACTCCTGAGATGCTTATCAATCTGGCAACTGATGCCAATCCCAGAATCCCTAGCATCATTGCCCATTGGACCAGCACGCTGGAGCGTGTTGACCAGTTCTGCAATTCTATTGTACCCACCGACGAATCAGCTAAACGCCACTTTAACTTCGAGAGGCAGAAGTTAATGGTGGATCTAAATATTCTTCGTGAGAAGAATCTTCTTGACCTATCCATGATCCTGAAGGACAATAAGAGGCTCTGGAAGGTAAGGTTGGGTTTGATTTGAAGTCAATGATGTGAAACGGTTAAATCACTGTGTTTGCACTATGTAGGGCTGTTTCTTGTCTTAATCGTCGCAGCGAGAACCTTCGGTTGTTATGTAGCAGCATTTAAAAGTTTACGAGGTGACGATGTGGTACTACATCGCATTGTATTGCATTTGCAGTTAACGATAAAACTTTTAAATAATAAAACAGGTAATGCCCTTGTGTTGCACAATGAGGCATGGCTGGTTATGGCAGAGAAACATGTGAATGTGAGCTCCCTTGCCTTCCCTGTGTGTGATCTTGCTGAAGCACGCCTTAGCGACTTACAGGGTGAGAGATTTTTCGTTGCGAGTGGAGGTAGTTTTGCAGCCGGACACTTGGGTAGGAGGATGTGTATGGTGCAAAGCACACATAAGGGGTCCTATAACGAATTGGCGCTGGCCTATGAGACCGGAGCTTGCTAATGATTCATCACACGCGTTGTATACGTCTCACCAAGCTTGTGTGCGCATCTCCTCCCTTCGTGCTGCTGGTGGCGTTGGCGTCTAGTGCTCAGGGCCTGCGTTACATCTTTTCATGCAGCTGCGCCACCGATTGTGAGCGTATGTAAGCACGGCGCGGACTCGCCCCACCATGCTGTGCCGCTGGTTTGAACGTCACTCAAATGCACGCCTCTATGCGTGTGCGTACGTATGACTATGCAGCTGGAAAGGTCGATATCTCCGGGTTCGCGCTACCGTCTTATCACAGCACCTGTGTGGCTGCGTCTATACTAACCAAAAAATCGATAGCTCGAGGTTCTGGGCTGGGAGGTTGGGTAAGATTGCAGCTAAGCTGACTGCGTGCAATTACATGATCGCTCTTGAAATTTCATTCCCATCCTAACAGTGCGCAAGTAGATTTAGTAGAACACGCTTCTGTCCTCAATGCTGGACGCTAAACCTCGTTCTCGGTCAGGCTTTTGTGAATGGCCTCTGTATGTGCACTGAAGGTTCGAGATATCGGACACTAGGAGGACTAAGTGGGTCACCTGCGTATGTACGCCTGTGTTTGTACGTCGTACATCCACACGCAAGTCAGCTGTACATTTGTCCTCCAACGATTGCGCGCTGTACGGTCTTCTGACATGGCGATCTTTTTGGACCTAGGTCTTAACGGACGCCGTCCTACTAACTGGCTCCTCTCCCTCCCTCACCCCCAACACTCTTGCTCCGCCTTGCGGAGTCATTCCCGGAGTGGCCGATGCTGATCAGATTACCAGAATGATAAATCTTCTCCAAGGTTTCAAGCCGAAGGCTACTGGCTCTGAAGTACGCTAAATTATGCCTTATTTTCTCATTCGACACTTCTTCCAAAAAAATATTGGAAGTTAGCGCTTGGTAGAATCAAAGTCGTTACAATAACGACCATTCAACCAATCAACTGCACAACGGTCTTTGTGGGTGTCTGTGGGCATGGGAGCATTGCAGAATTGTCCGATTTTTTTTTTCCCCTTCGATCCTCGGATCTGTTTCTTTTTGATAACTGTTGTCATTGTAGATGTGTATTCGCCTACTTTTTGGAATAGATCCAGATATTGATTGGTACATTTAATTACGCATTCGGTTCTCGTGCGTGTGCATGTATTCGCACGAGATCCGTTGTCAGTGTGGTACGCACACAACCTTGCACAATTATCGCTGTGATTTTAACGACATTGTGATCAAAACCAAAAACGGAAAACAAACGGGGATGGGTTTAAGGTTGACTGCGGGACTGGCGGCTGGTCAATAATTTCACCCTTCCTTATCCAACCACTCTGGAATTGTTAAATTTGGTAGTGTCCCTGAGACTTCTGCGAGGATGGTGCTTGGTACAGTAACTCAGTGTCGAGTAAAGATTGATAAACCAGCTGGAATGGCGTTGGAAAGTTTGAATACAATCGCTGGGTTCTCATCTCGTAGTCTGATATCAATGATAACAGTGAACTGTATTGCTTGAAAAAAAACTCGTTCAGTCTCGCACTTCCAGCCTACCTTTCCCTTTCATTTTATCTAATGAGTTGGGTGGATTTAAATCCTCTCAAAGCTACCGAATTCCAGCAGTATTTTACTATCAATATCGTGCGGACTTATGGGGACTTTAAAACGCGTTCAGGAAGGCGGATTTTACTTGAGTATGCGTTGTTTAAGTGGCTTCTAAAGACATGAAGGAAATATCTGTAACGCCAATATTTTTTTGAACCAGGCGACTAGTAGTGTAAGCAGCCGTTCCAGAAGTCGAATTAAAGAGGACTGAGTAGATTTGGGTATTCACTGCGATATCAAACCTCGCGAATGCTAGAAAGCTGCCTGAAGGCAAATGCATGTCACTAGTTAGCTCTCAGCAAGACAATTCCAACGCTATGTTAGGACTTCGGGAAGAAATGGCTGAAGACGTGCATGCTCCAGGATGGCGACGATAACTTGTTTTACTCGATGATGCCTAAGTTTAAGATGTATTAACTATTTTACATTAGTTTAAAGTTGAGTTTGTCCCATCATCACAGAATTTCCGACAATCTGGTACCATGGTAACCACGGGATATCAGCTGAACGAACAGAATCGACAGTTTTGGCCATCCTCAAACATAGGCTACCGAGCAGCTACTCCAGAGATGCTCTGCCCAACATCCCCTTCAATGCGGACAAATAGCTTGACGACCGCTGCCAACGGGGTCGAGACTCCACCGCTGACTTCCGGTGACTTCCTGCTGCCCTCCAAGCGCCAACGCCTATTTCGACATTCCTACTCAGCCAACAGCAACCTCAATCCATGAGAAATCAGAGAAAGGGATGAGGAAGAGAGAGGTTCTCCTTCTTTCCTGGTTCACTATCGCACCAGCCTGACTCCTGTTCTATTTTATCGAATCTTGGGGCGCTTCTCAGAGAAGGCCTAACTGGTGTGTGAGGCCTGTTGCTAACCTCATGCTGATAGGTTCTTGCATGCCCTTCCCTTATTCACCAAACAAATCTCCAATTTTCCTCTCCTTTGACGAACTTAGCTTTTAACCATCACGACGACTTGGTTGTGTTTTGGCAAGCATTACTTCTCTACCCACTGCGCCGGTCTCTTTCCCGCCTACCCCTTTCTCTCCCCTTGTCCTCAAAATAGATCTTATGGAGTAGTCATTGTGCCTCGAAGACGAGGAAGAAAGAGGAATGTCCTATTCGCGCATTAGCCCTTACCATACCATCCAGATTTTCACAAACTTATCTTCCTCTTTATAGCCGTGAGAGGACGTATGCCCACACCCACCTACTAGCCCACTGTGTAAAACTATTTCCCTTTTCCGCGTTTCGCATCAAGCGCTTACCTTCTCTTGACTAAATATCTATCTCAAAACAATAAGTTTGTCATTCATATATACATACATATGAAATTAAATATGTATAAATGAAGGCGTCTACTTCTACTTCTGCATCTGCGTTGGTAAGCTTGCTCTTATGTTTTCTTTCTCTGTTTTACAAATT